GCCATGACATGACCACCTCTATGTTTATGATTGCGAGTTGTTATCTTGCTACACAATGAATTTGAGGCCATTATATATGCCACACGTAAATACATAAGTCTAATTATGCAAAGTGCCTCAGGTTTTTCACAGTACTAAACAATTCAAAGTCAACATTTAAGCCAATTAATTTTTATATGCCTTATTAGACTATATTTAAGATGTTTTGGTTAGTTAGTGGTGTATGTATCTGATGTCGTTTTTTCAAGTTGCGTAAGATCCTGCATGTCACAGGGTTTTCCTTTATTTTTTGTTTATTTGCGTGTTTGTTTTTTAATTAAGTAGACTTGTCTATGTTACATTAGCTTCAATATTCAGGCATTTTAATCAAAATAACAAAATAGTGTATTTAGCAAGTAGTTTGCAGATACAGATATACTATTTTCCTGGAGTTTAATTCAACTTTCAAGCCCCCAGTTTTGAACCCCTACTGTGTTAGCTGCCTTTTAACCGCAGTCATTTAAAGAGATTAAAATCTGGGCGCTGGGCTTATGCTTTCACACAGCATTCAGCATGAATCAGTGTGCTTCAGGGACACGGGATTGGCTCATCAAAGGATAAATCTTTGCAAACTGACATGCCAATGAAGCCTGTTCCTGCCTGATATACATTTATTTCTCTCCCTTACTTTAAAAAGATATCTTGATCTCCGTGAGACTACCTGTATGAAGATAAAACAAAAACTAATTCACCCATGAGTAATAAATTATGAGCCACATACGTATTGAGAGAATTCTTACATAGCCTACGCTGGAACTTCAGTTCGTGTCAGAACAGGTTTCAGCTTTCATTTCAGCCAATCCAGCGACTCTATCTTTCTGGAGAAAGATCATTAATATTCTGTTATTGTTCAGAAGCTGAAATAAAAACACTCTATTACACTATATTTCTCCTTTTCCTTACGGTAAGAGACACTGTTAGATAAGGAGCAAGGCATCCTAAATGTTTATTTCATGTATCAGTACAGTGGTGCATTTTTTACCTGAGCATGGTGGAGTTGCAGCAGGCTACTGCCCCCAGGCTAGTGAACCAAACCCCACCCAATCTTCCACACTGGACTGAACCTGAAGCTTTTCTCTGTGGAGGTTGCACGTTCCCCATGTGCCTGTTTCCTGACACGCTCAAAGGGCATACACATATGGGTAACTGGTGACTCTGAACTGGCCTTAGGCATTGAAGTGGGGTGTTTGAAATGCATATAATAAAGTGCTGTATGAATGTCTCTGTGAATGGTGAGCGGTTAGTATGGGCTCTACATAAATACCCTTCAAATTCTATTTACCGTGTCATAGATTATACTTTAAGTACTGTGGTATTCTAGTAGTTTCATTTATTATGCCAATTTGGTCAGTCATACAGATTCAGCTCTTGTCTTCACATTGTTTATTTTGAGCAGACTACTGAATACTAAATTAAAAGAGACTTGGTGTACTATTTCTTTTAACTCTACTCAGACTTGCATGAATATTATTAATGCCAGCAGAGAGAGAGTATTGATTAGCACAGTCCAGAAACAGAATAACAGTCCACCCGATACTGTCCAAACCAACAAGCCTTTATTTCTGTTTTGCTTTATTTTATTTTTGCACTGCTCTTTTGTGCAGCTCAAACACAAAAGCATAGCATTTTAATTAGTGAGCTTTAAAGGTGCTATTTGCTGTCTTTGGTTAGAATGAGCCAGCTCGGTGTTTCTCCATATATCCTGCTCGTGCCTGGAGCTGTATAGTTAGTGCCGAAACACCAGAATGACATCAATCCGCTTATCCAACCCTCAAAAAATAAATAAAAAATAAGCCTAATTTCCATTTGCAAACTATTCCCTCACTAACATGTTTCTGCTACAGTGTAAATAAAATCAGAACTGCCAGAACTTTAAACTTTGAAACTCCACAATCTCCATGTTCGTGTTTATATTAACCGTGTATTTCATATTTCAGTCTCTGCAACAAAAAGTGGAGTTAAAGAGTATAAAATGAAAAAGTTTTGCTGAGACTGAACAGGGCTAACTTTTACCTCAGCTGTCTAAATGTTCTTCTTTTGACTTCCTTGCTTAGGTGCAATGCAGCATTCCAGACAAGTCGAAACATGACGGTGTGTGCGCTCTGTCTCAAAGAATCAGTTAAACTGGGTGGATGCAAAGAAATGGGTCACACACATCTAGCTCTGTAACTTAAGATTGTAAAAAAAAATGAATAAAGATTGTGTTAAACTCGGGTCACCTCCTGTCAGCTATTCTGAGGTAACGTATAATTCAGCGATTCGAACCCAGATGAACCCCAGGTGAACACTGCACTGAATTAAAGCTACTTCCGAGATGGCTTTTTTGTTTTTTTTTAAACCATCACCCCTGCATTTTTAAAAAATACCAAATGAGTTTAGATAAAAGTACAGTTTTCTGTGGCATTCTCCATCAGTAGCTTCACTCAGATTCTCTAAACAAGACAGCTGAAAAAATTTGCTTTTGAAGGAAAGGCAAAGACAACATCAGCAAGCTTGAAAAGAGCTTGTTACGTCTGTCATTTCTTCAAAATTTAGGTTTTTTAAGCATAACTTTTTAAGGATTATTTTATTACTGATACTTTTTCATTAGAGTAATAAGCCCCAGTTGCTATATTCGGATAAAGATTTTCATGGGATTACCAACTAAGATGTATTTTAATCCACAAAATAACATGTAAGGTTACAGGATTTAATAAAGAGGTTGGCAGGTTGATGGTGCTCTCAAATGAACTTCATTTATGATCATCATTATCAAACTATTAATATTAGGAGGTTGTTATACATTTGTGCTTTTTGCCACTTTTTGCACATAGTGGTTTCTATGATTAACATTTGGATGTTTGTGTAATTCATAAACGTTTCTGTGGGGGAGGGGACAGTTCTGGTTTAACATTTAGTTCCCGGGTAAAAGAAAAGGAAAAAAAAAAAGAAGAAGCTGTTTTTGGGGTGTGGACTTGCTTCAAGGCAGAAAAGGGGGAGGTTTAACCCTCTTGCTGCTTTTCCATTGGTGGACACAGGGACAAATATGCCTGTACCTGGTGCAGGTAAACAGACTGAAATCAGGCACAGCAGAAGAGGATCACCTGGCGTGACTTAATGCAACACTTTGGTTTCATTTAAATCCACCACCCCGGAAAACTTGACAGCTTTTTCGTTTGTGGCTTTGGACAGGTTTGTGTCGTATACCTTGCCTAACTACACACAAGGAAAGAGAAGGGTTAGCATTCGTAGATTTTTTTAATTCTTTTTTTTTTTTTTTTTTGGGGGGGGGGGGGG